CCCAAAGTCTCCCCCAAATTCCTCCTAAATCCCCCTCAGATCCCACCGGATCCACCCTCAAAATCCCCCTGAGATCCCCCCCAAAATCCCTCCCAGTCCCCTCAGATCTCCTCCAGATCTCCCCCCAAATTCCCCCCAAAATCCCCTCAAAAATCCCCCAAATTCCCCCAGCCCACAGTGGGGGAGGGGCTGGGTCACTCTGAGGGGGTCCCGGATCCCTCTGTGAGTTTGGGGGTCCCAGGTGGATTTTGGGGTCCCCAGGTGCTGATTTTGGGGTCTCCAGGTGCTGATTTTGGGGTCTCCAGGTGCTGATTTTGGGGTCTCCAGGGGGGTTTGGGGTCCCCGTGTGGGGTCAGGTGGGTGATCCAGGATCTCACCTGGATGACGTCACTGGATTTCATCCAATGACGTCACTGGATTCCCTCCAATGACCTCACTGACCCCCCCCTGTGACCTCACCTGGTCCCAGGTGTCCCCCCGCCCTTTCCCCCCTCCCCCAGCCCTCGGGAGTGCCCTGGGAGCTGTGACGTCACACCACGGTACCATTCGCACTTACGACGTCATCACCGCGATGACGTCATCGCGAATCAGGGGGCGGGACGTTCGCTGAGGCCCCGCCCCTTTTCCCGCCTTTGCGCCCGGTTCCGCCACGCTCAAGATGGCGCCGTTGCCGCGGTAACCGCGGGGGGGCGGAGCTTCTGCCACACAAAACATGGCGGCGGCGCCGGGGGCGGGGCTTGGGCGGGGCCTCCCTGAGGGAGGAGGCGGGGCTGGGACGGACTGGGATGAACTGGGAGGGACTGGGGTAAACTGGGAGGGACTGGAACCTCCAACATTCCCCCCAAAAAAGGCTCTGAGCCGCCCCGAGGTGGCCGGGGGCATCCCCAGACTCATTTCTGGCTCGGGGGGCTCAACAAAAGCGCTCCCAAAGGACTCCAAAAATGCCGGATCGTGTCCCCGGGCCCTCAGGGGGGATCCGTGTCACACCTGAGGGGGCATTGTCACACCTGGAGGTTTATTGTCACACCTGAGGGGGCACTGTCACACCTGGAGGTTTATTGTCACACCTGAGGGTGCATTGTCACACCTGAGGGATTATTGTCACACCTGGAGCTGTTTCACACCTGAGCCTGAGGGGGACACCCCAAAACTCCCTAAATCTTCCCTAAAACCTCTCCAAATCCTGGGACCTTCACCCCGAGCCCCTTGCTGAAGAACCCTCACCCTGCTCCTCTCCTCTCCCCACCCCCCGACGGAGCATTTTGGGGTCCCGGAAGGGCAAAACTGGGGCGAAAAGCGCCAAATTCGGGTGTTTGAACAAAAATCCGTTACGGAAAAGGCGGGAAAAGCGCCTGCGCAGGAACGAGGTGGAGCCGAGCATGCGCCATTACCACCGGCGCGGTCACGCACGCGCAGTGAGCGCTGCAGCCGTTAAGCGCCACCATCCGGGGCCTGGCGGGCGCCATCTTTGTGGCGGGTGGAGGAGACGCGTCCAAAATGGCGGCTCCCAAGCGCCAGTAGCCGGCGCGGCGGGCGGGCCTTTCTCGGCTTTCAGCGCGGCGGCGGCGGCCCGGAGCGAGCGGCGGCGGCGGCGGAAAGCGGCGCCCGGGGTCGGCGGGCGGAGGGTGGCTGCAGGTGCGGAGCGGCGGCGGAGCGGCGCGGAGAGCGGCGCATCCGGGTCCCGCGGCCGCCGCCATCTTGGGCCGCCGCGGAGCTGCGAGCTCCCACCTGCGCCATCTTGGGGCGCCGCATCGGGGCTGTCCCGGAGGGGGGACGAGAGGAAGGGGCGGCGGGGCCTGAGCGAAGAGCGCGGGGAGCGCTCAAAGCTCCGCTCCCGTCCCGGGCAGGCGCCGCCATCTTGCGCGCGCGGCGAGGAGGAGGAAGAGGAGGAGGACGAGGAGGAAGATCCGGGCACCGGGCGGCGCCATCTTGGACCCCCCCCTTCCCACAGCAGCGCGCCGCCATCTTGTGACCCCTCCCCCGCGCACCCGGGCACCGGCCGCTCCGCCGCCTTGGAGCCGCTGCGGTAGCGGAGCCGCACCCGGTAAGGGCGGAATGAAGCGGGGAGCGCCGGGAGGGAGGGGAGGAACCGCGGGAGCCCCGTGGAGGCCGACACCGGGCATCGGTTCCGCCGGATGGGCGGCGCCATCTTGGGAGGGGACGTGCGGGGTGTCATGGCGGCGCCGTGCGCCGACATCCGGGTCCTTCCCCCCCACCGCCCCCGGGGCGCCATCCTGGGAGGGGCCGCCGCATCCGGGTCCCGCGCGCCGCCATCTTGAGAGTCCGGGGGGGGCGGGGGGCGATGGCAGCGCCGGGGATCCCCGGCCCGTTTGCCTCGCTCGGAGCCGCGGGGCCGTGAGGCCTCGGAGCGGCTCCGGCATCCCGTTAACCCCGGGGGGCGGTGGGGAGAGCGGGGGAGCTCCGGGGCAGAGGAAGAGGAGGAGAAGGGGGCGCGGTTTGCGGAGGGGGCGGTACCCAAGGAGAAGCGGGGCGCCCAAGATGGCGGCGCCCATGGCGGTCTGAGCGCTCCGTACAGCGCTGCGCCGCCGGGAAACGGGCGGTGTCGCCGGCAGCCAGGCCGCGGGGGATTCGGTGTGTGCGGGGGGACGAGGCCGGGAATGCCGGGGAGCGGTTTCGGGGCCGCGGGAAGGCCGGGAGGGGGCGGCACCGGGAGTTGGCGGCGCTCGGGGGGGGGCGGGAAGGAGGGAAAACCGCGCAAAAGGCGGGCTGGGGGGCGGCTCCTTTAAGAGGCGGTTTGGAGTGGGCGTGGCCACGCCCTTCCGTGGCCACACCCCCTCCGTTGGCGCCATGGCCGCGCCCCTTCAGGCGGCTCCGTACAGTTCCCCCCGCGCCCCTCCGCTGTTCGCCCCAGCGCCGCCGCTACCGGGCCCGGCCCGGGGGCCACCGAGATGGCGGTGAAACTCCTCCCGGTCCCCCTCCCCAAATGCCGCCGCCTTTTCCCGTCCCGCCTTCCCCACAATGTCGCCCCCCGTCCCCGGCCAAGATGGCGCCGCCCGGGTCCGGAGGGGGCGTGTCCGCGTTGTCCCCGCCCCCTCCCGTCGCTTCCCGCCCACCCTCGGCGGCCGCCGGACACAGGCGCAAGATGGCGGCTCCCAGGGCGGCGTGAGGGGCCGCCGCCGCCGCGCTCCGCCCGCAG